CTCAATCTCCCTCTCTCATCCAAGAAATGATTCACTCTCTCCTAATTTACCCTAATTTACTCGTACGTATAATGAAGAGAAAAGTGCGCCGTTCTTGTCAAGGAAGAGAGTTTTATTTCCCATGAGAGAGGGATATTGAGTAGTCGCTGGTAGGCCACTTATTCGTACAAGAAAATTTTCCAACTGATTGAGTCACTGGCGTATTCTGCCAGTGATCGATAGTACTGTATATCGTCATTTGTAGCACTGCAGCCATGTCCATCATTGGCATTGATTCTACCACAGGGAATGCAAGATGGCTCAATAGCAGTCTACTAATGCTCAGTTTACTCCATAAATTTGTTCAACAGTGACAGTTGTCAACAGCGCTAGAAAGTTGGTTTTATTTTCCTATCCAAACTGCTATCCGCTACTCACTACTACTTTCCAACAAGGCTGCCCATAAAGTACACTCATGCAACTACAGTAAGATGGCGTCAAGGATAAATGCAAACCGCAATGATTTCAAGACAGCCGCGTCTTGCTTGATTATCTTGTTGAAAAGTGTTGTATCTCGATTTAAATTGAAGACAATTAGTATGATTGGATTGATTCAAATGTTGTAAATTGAAAATAATTTGGCTTGAATGGGAACGATAAATGTAGAAACAGACTACAAGTGATTTTCGATTTTTAGCGGTCTTGATTAAGATAGGGATATCCAAGGTAGTAGAGTGGGCACAGAAGAAAGATTGATTGCACGAGTAGAGTAGAGAATGATGGCATTCAGTGTCATGATTGGCAAAGACAAGCTTTGCTAATGAAATGATTCTTCTTGCTCAGATATGTCCGTGTACACTGAAGAATGGCAGACAGTAGCGATAGAACGCTTAGTATCCATCACATAAGGCACCATGGAGATGATACTAGACATTTGTAAAACAGCAAGACAGTGGTGGCTTGGCTACCAAAGTGAATATTCTTGCTCAGATGTCTCCATTTCATCGATAGCAGTTTTTACTCCAGCCAAGCTATACTATTAAGGGGGCGACTCTTCTTTCTCCTATGTATGATGTGTCAGTAAGAAGGGAAGAAATGATCGGATTCCATCTCCAGCACGACGATGATGTGTAATTTAGTGAAGGGAAGAAGTCATTGGATTGTATCCTAGGTAGGACGATGATGTGCAATTTAGTGAAGGGAAGAAGCCATTGGATTGTATCCAAGGTAGGACGATGATGTGCAATTTAGTGAAGGGAAGAAGCCATTGGATTCTTTCCTAACTACGACGATGATGTGTAAGAAAAGAAAAAGTCATCGGATTGTATCCTAACTACGACGATGATGTGCAATTTAGTGAAGGGAAGAAGCCATTGGATTGTATCCAAGGTAGGACGATGATGTGCAATTTAGTGAAGGGAAGAAGCCATTGGATTCTTTCCTAACTACGACGATGATGTGTAAGAAAAGAAAAAGTCATCGGATTGTATCCTAACTACGACGATGATGTAGAAGAAAGGAAAAAGTCATCGGATTGTATCCCAAGTACGACGATGATGTAGAAGAAAGGAAGAAGCCATCCGATTGCATGGCAAGCACGACCATGACATGTTGGATCGGAAGAAGCAAACCATCGGATTGCATGGTAGCCACGACCATGACCTGTTGAAATGGAAGAAGGCATCGGATTGCATGGCAAGCAAGACGATGATGACATGTTGGATTATCCCCAGCACAACGATCAAGATATTGCAGTAGTCCATGTCGCAAGTGGCCCAAGAGTGTGAGCAAAAGAGAGGATGGCAAAGCGTAAACAGCTGCAAAATTGTCTCCCACTGCTATTGCGAGTCTGCGTCGAATACAGTAGGAAAACAAGAATAAAAATCATTTACAACAACAAAAGCCAAAGCGGGACAAAAGCTCTTGTGCCATCTTTTAAGGATTGCTGCAGGCGATAGAGGAGCCTATTGAGAAATCGACCGCAGCGAGAAGATTCTCATTACGAGTAGAAAGCAGAGCGACGACAACTGGAAGTCGTTGAATTGATTGATTTAAAAGGGTGGTAAGAGATCGATCGTCGTCGACTATTTTTGGTGGCCTTGTTGGGGTAGAGAGAGGCAGTGATTGTAGATTGGCCATCATCGCCAAGTGGAGACGACGACAATTCTGGTTATAGCGACGACAAGTTGAAGTCGTTGCTGTGCACAAGATTCAATTGATTGATTTAAAAGGGTGGTAAGAGATCGATTCTAGTTGTTGTTGACTATTTTCGGTGGCCTTGTTGGAGTAGAGAGAGATTGTAGATTGGCAATCATCATCGCCTGGTGGAGACGACGACAAGTTGAAGTCGTTGCTGTGCACAAGATTCAATTGATTGATTTAAAAGGGTGGTAAGAGATCGATTCTAGTTGTTGTTGACTATTTTCGGTGGCCTTGTTGGAGTAGAGAGAGATTGTAGATTGGCAATCATCATCGCCTGGTGGAGACGACGACAAGTTGAAGTCGTTGCTGTGCACAAGATTCAATTGATTGATTTAAAAGGGTGGTAAGAGATCGATTCTAGTTGTTGTTGACTATTTTGGCTGGCCTTGTTGGGGTAGAGAGACAGTCATTGCCGATTGCCAATTCAATTGATCATCATCGCCAAGTGGAGACGACGACAAATCTTGTTATTGCTGTTGCTATTACGACGATCAGGTGGGGGAGTTAATAAACTAGCCAGTGGTAAGCTAACTAAGCATCATCGTGGACAGCATTAGGGCAGGTTGAGAGAGAGAGAGAGAAGATTACAGCCATTGACTTATCGACCCTCCTCGGCTGGAGGAGACAATCCCCATTGGGATAGTGTAGCGACAACAAGTTTGAAAGACAAAATTGCAATCGATTGATCAAAGCATTGGAGAGAAAGAATTGATTAACCGACTCCATCCTTGTCAATCTTCTCTCAGCGCTGGTGACGAGTTGATCTCAAGCTAGGTCAGAAAAGAAGTGGTTAGCATGCAAGTGCCATCATCATCCGATGAAGATTCCGAACCTGGCGAATTGAGCGATAATGGCAGCCAACATTCGACGAGTGGTGGGCCAGGATCAGTAGGTTCAGCATCGCTTGCACCTAATAATGCTCGCCGAGTATCGTCGACGCCATCCGTTTCTAGTTTAGGAGGCCAATTGACGGCTGGCAGTAATGGCAGTCGTCGACAATCCATCAATAATGGCGGCGGCAATACGCCTGGCAGTAGTAGTACATCGGCTAGCATGGCTGCTGCTGCAGTTGCTGTTGTCGGCACCATGCCAGGCGTTTCCCCACCCGATTTATCCATTACATCAGCTAATGAAGATGAAGAGAAACGCAAAGAATTATTACAAATGTATGTTTTTGTTTTACGCTGTATTGCTTATCCTTTTAATTCTACCCATCCTTCGGATATTCCACGCCGCTATATTAAAGTCACTCGAACCAATTTAGAAACTATTCGTCAACGATTTCGATCCTTTCTTAATGGCGATACACAAATTGTCGCTGATGAAGCATTCATTTTATCCGTCGAATCCTACTGTGATATCTTTCTCTCTAGTGATCGTATCACTAATTTAGTTAAAAGTGGCGGTTGTTCATCGCATGATTTACGCGAATTATTTCGTAATTCCATCGAGAAACGCGTTCGCTGTTTACCTGATGTAGAAGGAGTATCACGAGAGACGGTGATTAGCTCTTGGTTGGCTAAGTACGATGCAATTTATCGTGGCGATGAAGATCCTCGCCGTTCTAATGCTCGAATCAATGCAGCCAACATGGATCTCTACCTGTCCAAAGATCATTTATACGATTTATTCCAAGGCATCTTGGATGTACCCAAATACGAGCATCAAATTTTATATAACGCTTGCCAGGTAAGATGGCGCTGCTAATCCATCTAACTTGATACCATTCTTTTGCTTCATTTCTTCCCTTCATCCAATTCTATTTCTTCTTCTTTGCTCTCTCTCTCTCTCGCTGTCTTTTTTTCTTTTTGGGGGGGAATACATTGCCAAACACAGTGTACACAATCCATGTCCAATGGTCCATATCGGTTAGCTTTTGACATGGACTGGAAATCATGAATTTGTTGTTGCTTTCCATTCTACAGTCCAGTCCAGTAGTTGGACGATCTCATATCTTGCAATACCACAACGTTGCTAACTTTCCATGGTTGTTGGACTATCCAAGAGATAGTCCAACAACGTATCCCTTCGACATAACATGGACGTAGTCTTGCTGTTCATTTCGAGCGTTGTTTGACATAACAAAACTTACTGTTTACTTTCCATCCTTCTTCAACCTACTTCAACCATGCTAAACCTGCTAACAAAACCGATGTTCTCTTTTCCTTCAACATCACATCAACATCTGTAGTAGTTTGCGATTGCTTTCTCTCCTTATTAGACTATCCAAACTACTGCAATAGGACAGTATTGCTATCGTATCCTATCCAAAAGACTTTGAGCAGTAGTTTACTTTTTTTATCCTTGCTCCACTATCCATTGTGTCGCTATGGACCAAATGGACTTGATCGCCTTTTCCCTTTTTACACTAGGATCAACATCAAAATAACCCAACTCTACGCGTTGGGTTTATTTTGCACTTTCTTTCTTGGATCATGATTGATGGAATCCGTCATCAACGACTGGATTGTCTGCTTAATTCATGGCGTTTCTTTTGCAACAAGGTCGATGTTGGCCTTTCTTCCTACGTCCATCCAGCAATAAATGGCAGCATAGCACTGTCATCAAGCGATATTGCTTGGCTTTTGCCTTTTTTGACATCCTGTAGTCATGTAGGACGATGAACTAATAACCATAAGCTATACAGTAGACTGTAGAAAGGATCTTTTTCCACCACTTGCAGTGGATTCCTTGCTGACAAGATAGCGTTGACCTTCCATCCTTGAAAGTAATGTCCAGCAAAAGGAGACAAGGTGCCCTTCTTCTTCTGCTAGGGAGAATAGACAACCATACAAACTATGGCTCTTCTTTCATAATCCATCTCCTTCATCTTCTCGCTAATACTAACAAGGCGATGATTGTACTGGATGCTAGAATGAGCCAAGGCTCAATCCTGTCCATTCCATACTTTCATCATCACTTTGCCACTTTTTCCTTCTCCATCCAGCTTTTCCTCGACACACCTAATCATAACTAGCCTATAAAATAATAATAACCATCATCAACAAGTCATTATCCAAAATGGCTAGCATCCTCCATCCTATCAAGTGGGCTAACATACGTTGATAGAGGGGCAAAGGGAAAAATATCCACCATCAAATGGTTGAACAACTGCAATCTCAACGGACAGGAGTGGCAAAAAAACACACAAGCCTCTAATCCCAGTAGAATTGATCGACTTTGTCTTGCTAATCAAGGATGAAAGCGACAATGGATGCAAGTTGGCCAAGCAGTGATTGTATTCGTCTTGATCGTCTCCTTGATTTTTAATGAAGGATAACGAAGAGAAATGATGACACAGATTTAGCCCAGGGTGGTTTAGCTAGCACAGGCGATCATCTCATTCAATGTGTAGTTATCCTTTCTACCCTTTTTCTCTTGCAAATTGACGATGGCGATTCCTCTTTCTTTTGAGCAGGACGACATGATATTCAATCGCCATCATGATTGAATAGAATGTTGACTGCAGCATTTCCTTTACCAACCCGTCTTGATCTTGTTGCCATGGATGGACTAATAGTGGAGTAAACAGTCCACCATTTTCACTCTCCCTCTGCTTAAAATGAATCTCATAACTACAATCTCTACGCGTGTTGGATCATTTCCTTCAGCGACCGCTTGATGTTCAACTTGAATCTATGTGGAGTTGGTCAGTCCACTTGTCCTCTTTTCTCCTTGTTAATTTTGCCCTTTTTAGGCCTAAAAAGGGCAAAAAAAACTTTCATCCCTGTCTGTCAATAAATCACGACGGAGGAATCGATGTCCATTACATCATTTCCTTCAACGCCAGTTTAGTCATGAATCCGTTCATCAATGAATTGCAAAAATTGCAATCCCTCTTCTCCTGGCCATGCTTCCCTTTTTAGGAGAAAGGAGAAAAGTTTTCCCTTGCCCCAATGAATCTGCTTGATGAATAGAATATTCATGGCATGATTTTCTTCACCAACAGCCTCACCATTCTATTGATCGACTGATATTTCCAGTATACTGGATGCATTTTCCCCTTGCCCTTTTCATCCTAGCTTGTACTACTTGTATCAAAAACAGCCTTTCTTTTTGCCCGATATCCATTCGATCATGTCCTTCATAGAGAGCTCAAACTTGATTCAATCCATCGACTGATGGTGGAGTTTTTAGTCCATTTGCGCCCCTTTTTATCCCAGTAAGAATACTTGTAGTACTTTGAATAATGTATCAAAAAAATTCTCCCCCTCCCCAACTGAATCATTATCCATTCGACAACAGAATATCGATTGAATCCCTCTCTTCACAAATTAGCGAATAAAATGTTGTCGAAACTTTAGACTCCAGACCTTTTCATCACCTTGCCAAAGATTATCAAATCAATCCTATTGCCAATTGGAGAAGCAATCCAGGTGTCGAATCCTGAGCTTTTCCTTTCTCTTCTTTTTGTCAATCTTTTAAGAATAACCTTCTCTCCCATTGACTGGCCAACTACATTATTTTTACTCCATTGAATCAATCAATCCATAATGTGCTCTAACCTTGTCCAAAAAGTAAATCTACTGTCCATTCTACAAGACTTTTCAAGACAATCCAATTCTTACTATGGAGTGGATCTAGATAACTCGATGGTTGATTTTGTGAAATTAACCTCCTAAAAGGAGTCAAAACTAACTACACCAACGGAGTAATTGACAATAATTCTCCAATTAATGTCCAACTCAATGTTATTTTGCCCTTCAATGGATAGCAGATTGATCTTTCTCTTCATCAGGCTAGAAAGTCTTCGTCTAGCCTGTGCCCAACCACTGTACAAATCCTACAATTCTGTTCTTCATGTACATCATTAGGTTATCCAGTCCATCCTAGATGATTGTACAATCGTCAATGCTAACTACACCAACGGAGTAATTGACAATAATTCTCCAATTAATGTCCAACTCAATGTTATTTTGCCCTTCAATGGATAGCAGATTGATCTTTCTCTTCATCAGGCTAGAAAGTCTTCGTCTAGCCTGTGCCCAACCACTGTAGAATGCGCTACAATTCTGTTCTTCATGTACATCTTTAGGTTATCCAGTCCATCCTAGATGATTGTAGAATGCCCCCAAATTATACTATCGCCTACCGATTGGAGCTATTCTCTTAGAAAGCTGTACGAGATCGTTATAGGTCAATCCGAGGATATGCCATTTCATTTTCCAACAGAATATCCATTAAAATAATAATGATTTACATAGGACTGTTGCAAGAGCGACAACTTATTGTTGTCCATAAATTGATGCACTCCAATAGCATTTTCAAGACAATATGATTGAATTATCCATCTTACCCTCTTGGTTTTCCATCACGTTCAATCTAATATTGGAAAATGTCTACTCTAGCTCATTTTTCAACAGGGCATTCAAGCGATAATTTGCACAAGACTTTGCTAACGGCTATACCTCCATTTTGTGAGTTAATTGATCCACTCTAAATGAGCAGGATACAGACACGATATCAACAATCTTTACCCTCTCCATTTCTATCATGGTCAATGGATGCCTTTCAAATGGCCGCTGTTGCAACTCCATGATAGAGTAGCCTTTCATTTTTCACAGGTATCCATGAAAGTAATGATAATTCGTATAGGACTATTCTCCAAGGACTATACCCTAACTTTGGGGGTTAGATTGATCAAAGTTGAAATAATTGATCAACAACTTAAGCAGTTACTTTACAAGAGGATTTGACCATGACACCATTTGCAAATGTACTCTATTTCCTCTACAAGACAAAAATGCAAAATGATCCCCCCAAAGTAGTCCAAAGAAATCTCACAACAGTTGCATTTCTCTTGATGATGGAATGAATTTTTGTTTTTTATTTGAATGCCTATCATTCTTCGATGGGACTAGATCATCGCTACGTGCATAGGGAAGAATTTCCATCGAAATCAATCACATCGATGGGGATATCCACACCTTTTGAATACATTATTTACAATACTATATTCTAATATTGCTATCATTGATTTTGCAATAGCTGGATAATTCCGATGAGCAAGCTGCCCAGATACGCCGTGAATTAGATGCCTTAAGACATGCTATAGAAAACAACTCGTTGGTAAGTCATAAACTTGTTGGATTTTACTCTATCTATCTTGAATTAGTTCATGCATGACCCAGTGGCTATCGTACATTAAATACTTTTCCTTCCTCAACCCCGTTCCATTTTAAAAATAGTAAAGAAGCAACTTATTATCGATCATCGTGACAACGATTTAGTATTGAGCACAGCATGCTAGTTGTGTCTATCCTAGTCAATTCGATTGGGAAACGGAATAGCATGGCAAACAGTCGAATCCATAGCCTATTACCAATCGCAATGACAACGATTTAGTAAAGCGTAAAATAGAATACAACCGCCTATCCTAATCCAATGGATTGAGAAAGGGAATAGCAAACAATCTATTTAATAACGTATTGCCAATGGCGATAATTACCATTTATTTAGCATAGAGTAAATCAGAAAACTTGCGTTTATCCTAGTCGAATAGATTGGGAAAGAAATAGCAAACAATTTATTCAATAGCGTATTGCCAGTCACGATAATTACTATTTATTTAGTATAGAGTAAATCAGAGAACTTGCGTCTATCCTAGTCAAATAGATTGGGAAAAGGAATAGCAAACAATTTATTCAATAGCTTATTGCCAATCGCGATAACTACTATTTATTTAGCACAGAGTAAATCACAACACTTGTGTCCACTCTAGTCGAATAGATTGGGAAAAGGAATAGCAAACAATTTATTCTATAGCCTATTGCTAATCGCGATAGTAACTATTTATTTAGCACAGAGTAAAACAGAACACTTGCGTCTATCCCAATCGAATAGATTGAGAAAAGGAATAGCAAACAATTTATTCAATAGCTTATTGCCAGTCACGATAATTACTATTTGTTTAGTATAGAGTAAATCAGAAAATTTGCGTCTATCCTAGTCGAATAGATTGGGAAAAGGAATAGCAAACAATTTATGCTATAGCGTATTGTCCATCGCGATAATAAGTATTTATTTAGTATAGAAAACTTGCGTCTATCCTAGTCGAATAGGTTGGGAAATAGAATAAAACTAAAATTCTGTTAATCGCTATGACAACGATTTAGTCTACAGTAAAACCAACATTTAACTCGCACGTTGAGAAAGGGAAGAAATTGTTAACGGTCTAAGAGTAACTTATTACCCAGCTTGATGATAGCCATTTATTAGTACAGTATTACAAATACAAGTTAATTGCTAAAGAGAAGAAATCGACTAGCCTTTGTCCAACAGTAGTCTAATAATGAATTAAAAAAAATGCATTCAAAATAATAAACAACCCATAAATAGGGTATTGCCAAGCGCAATAAGAACGATTCTGTAATATAACGAATGCCTGCATGTTGTCATGATTCAACATCAGAAGCATCTTCTCCTGGTCCAACACTTTGGGAAAATGGACTAAAATAGGGTTAACACGATCATGATTTAGTAATATCATATATGCTTATTGTCATGATTCACTATCAGAAAAATCCTATCCTGGTCCAACACCTTGCGAAAATGGAATAAGATAGGGTTAACACGATCATATCATTTAGTAATATAACAAATGCTCGCATATTGTCATGATTCAACATAAAAAAAACCTATCCTATAGGTCCAACACCTTGGGAAAGCAGAATAGAATAGTAATACAACAAATGCTCGCATGTTGTCATGATTCAACATCAGAAAAACCTATCCTATAGGTCCAACACCTTAGGAAAGCAGAATAGTAATACAACAAATGCTCGCATGTTGTCATGATTCAACATCAGAAAAACCTATCCTATAGGTCCAACACCTTGGGAAAGCAGAATAGAATAGTAATACAACAAATGCTCGCATGTTATCATGATTCAACGTCAGAAAAACCTATCCTATAGGCCCAACACCTTGGGAAAGCAGAATAAAATAGGGTTAACACAATCATATGATTTAGTAATATAACAAATGCCAGCATGTTATCATGATTCAACATCAGAAAAACCTATCCTATAGGCCCCTACACCTTGGGAAAGTGAAATAAATAGGGTGAACACCATTATGTTAACCATATTTAAAAAGGATTTTATAGCATATCAATCACAATTGTTCTAACTCACTAATCTGTTACGCGTCTACTCAATTTATTAGCCACAACTTGAATTTACCAAAAATGAAATGAAATTACGCTATAAAGAGGAGCGATGGAATGCCTACAAGCAATTAAAGGAAAACTTGGAGAAATTACCGCTATCCAAAGTTAACCCTGATCATAAACCTAAAAAAGGGTAAGTCAACAAAAAAAAGGAATATTACGTTTGACTATTCCATGTCCAGATCTTATCGTTTGCTTTCATGGGTAAACGCGTATCTTTATTCAACTTGTGAGGAAGCTCTCTGTTATCCATCATCATAATAATTATGCCTGGGTTTGGTTCTACTCTTTTTTCAATGAATAATGGATCGATAGCGAACAATAACTAATTACTATTATATACTTCTTACTAAATAACTCAAGTCATTACTTTACAATATCAACTTTTCTAGCTATTCTAAAGATAATAATGTTTATTCCAAGTTATTTTTAACAGTAATTAGATCCCATAATGACTTGGTAGCACCGCGCAATTTATCAATAGCACTGATGATTATTGACATTAGCAGCGGTGATGTAAAAAAAATGAACTAAAATTATTCATCGACTGTTTTATCTTTCAGTACTTTATCTCACCAATTGGTTAGCAGTCATTTGACAGTAAACAGTGAATACATTGTTGATCAATATTACAGCTATCTTTCCATTATCAAATTCTAATCCTAATACGTTTTTTAACTAGGAGCATCAATTATTTATTTTTACAATTCTGCCCCTTCAATTGGCTATAATAATATCTTACAAATAGTTAATAACAATATCTATTAGCGTAGACTAGTACAGTAATAGATTATCTAAAGCTTTATCATTAATGGTAAATCATTAAGCAAATTAATTGGCCTAACTGCAGAGATCACTAATTAGAATTGAGTGATTTTATGAAGCCTTTCTGTGTTGATGCCCTATGACACGCGTAGTAATCATTCTTTATATCAATTACTTACTCTATAGTGCAAGCTATTCCTCAATTGATCTTCTACACTAGAATCATGTTTCCACATCAGCAAATATCTTGTCTCTCAGCCTTACTAAAAACACTCATTTTTTTTTATCTCTATTAATCAATATTTTATGACTTTTCAATATCGCTACACTGGTACAACATCCCCCGTACATGACTCTACTTGCTTATACTACGTTGTGCTTTAATGTTGACCAATTTCCAATTTTAGCCCAATCTATAATAGAGGCTACCACCAGTATACTACTTACAGATACATGCCGATAATTTTTAAGAATAATGGCGAAGAATATCGCCTAATATGGACTAGGCTATCTTAAACTTTTACCATCACTAATAGCATACCAGTAGAATAAAGCCATGATAAATGATTCTATTAATTCTATTTTAGAACAGTTAACCAATTAAATAATGATGCCTTGTAAATGAATCTTACCTACACGTATTTCTGCTTACAAACAGGGGTCATATAATTAATGCTTCAATGTTGATGAATGAAGACAGCGAATCAACTCTCACTAAATCTGATACTGCATTAACATTTACCTTAGAGGTAAGCTCTTATCTATGCTAAATACCTGTATATTAACTAAACAACTAAAGCTATCTATCAAAAGATCTACAATCGTTTTATTATACCATCAGACTTTCTTATATTATATAAATAGCACTCATAATATGGAAATAGTGCTGTTTGTGTGAAATAAACTCATACGACAATTGATTACATAAATTCTGAAACAGAATTATCAGTCAATATGCTCATACTGGTTAAATAGGCTAACAAAATGACTATAACTATCTACGAGGGCAATAATTTCAATTTTAAATATATATCAACTGCTGTTATATTAGTTCTAGTTCTAATAAACCCGAAATAGTACTGCTTACCTATACGATAAAACAATTATCTATATGACGTCTGAAAATAAAATTATAAAGAAAGCACTACCATCGTAGTTGAATAAATTAACTAAGTAATTCTAATTATTTAATTGCAATCATTTAATTTTAAATGCATACTTGCTACTATTATATTAGTACTAATAAAGTTGGAAATAGTGTTGCTGCTGACCTATACGATAAAACAATTGTTTAAATAGATTCTGAAACTGAATGAGAAATAAACATAACCATCTTAGCTAAATAGATTAACTAAACGACTACCACTATTTACTAATAAATTTGCAATAATTTTGAAAGATTTAGTTACTACTGTTCTAGAAACAGTGAAGCTCACCTATATGATAAAATAACAAAACAATTTGTCTCTATAACTTCTAAAACTGAGTTTCAAATATGTATTAATAATAATTACCATTATTGCCACTTATAAAATTATAAATATATGGAATTAGGCCTCTTTAACCAATTCATTGGTTCATTTTATGACTGTATGTTTTCATTATTATACCTTAGGTCATTATACACGAAGTACAAGGAATTAGCTTTTTACAACCCCATAAAATCGTCTATTGCACCATGGAGGTAGGTATCATATTTACAGTACTATTTTAATGCGGTAAGGGATACATGTTCTCGTACAAACTTTGACCTGAAATAGACTGACATAAAGCTTATTCAATACTAGATTGAAGGTGGAGAAAAACTTCGTACAGATGCTGCCCTTGCAGATAAGCCAAAGTCAGTCACTATTTTGTATTTCCTTTAGTTCATCTACGTTACAGTAGTAGACTATTTTTTTATTGCTACTGCATAAAACTCGTAAATTATACCATCAATAAATACCTGTATCTTTACCTTGACTTTATAACATAACATCATTACATACGCCCATTGTGTAGTAATAACACGTATTCTTCACTACAGATGGCGCACTCAAGGTGATTTTAAGAGTAATCAACCTCTACCCGTTCTAAAAATCAAATTATACACCGAAAATTCTAGTCTCATTAGTTTAGATGATAAAGAATTAGGAAGGGTATGTAAAACTTTTCTCGTCAGTTATAATCATACACAGAATTCCATATTGACCTCTATTATTTTCATGAATCAACGCAGTTGGTACTATATCCTAATTCAAATTGGCTTGAGACGCCTGATAATTATGTCATGACGCCAAAACATCATCAAAGTAATAATGATAAAATAAAAATTAAAATTGGTGTCAAAATGGATAAACCACAAGGAATGAAAAAATGCGGGTAAATCATGTCATTCTTTGAAATATCGAGACTGCAATCGGAGTTAAATCATTTCTATATCCCATACTTCCGTCACAGTTATCTATACTGCATGGGTCAAAGCCATTGGAAAAAGTGGAAGAAGCGTTTTTTCGTTCTAATTCAAGTAAGTTCTTCTATTGATGGGAATTCTTTTCAATTATGATGTGTTACTAATAATCTGCATTGAATAGGTCAGTCAGTATACGTTCGCTTTGTGCAGCTATCATACGAAAAAATCTGATCCTCAAGAGATGATTCAAGTTGATGGTTACACCGTTGATTACACTGATAGTCCACCTGGTCAGCTAAAACATAACTTAATCAACCCAAGATAATACAATTTTAGCACTTGAAACTTCAACTGAACAATAACAGAATGATTCATAATAGACTAATAACCATGCCCTATATATTTTTTCATAGACGAAAACTGCAAAAGTGAAAACAAAGCTGAACTATTCCACTTTAAGGGCGTCAAAGAGGGTGACTGGATCTATTTCGCTTCTGCGGATGAAAATGATAGGCAACTTTGGATTCAAAAGCTCTATCAAGCAACTGGACAAACCCATAAACCTATCCCGCATAATAGTGTTTCTATTTCTCTTAGTTCTGGCAAAAGTATGCAAAAGAATCTTGTATTTTATTTTTTAATAAAGAATTAATCTAATTGCACTTTTAGTGCCTAAGATAATTTACTAGATAAGGTTATATGTTAACAACATAGTGATATATCTTTCCTTTATTATCATCAGCGACAGAACGTAGCAGAGCGCGGAAGCATGGTATGGAAGATTTTGTCCAAGCAAATCCACTCGATTTTGATCATAACCGTCTGTTTGCACAATTGCAATCATTATCGTTGGAAAAGCGTTTAAATGATAATTACACCAGTCTGGTAAGCGATTGTTATGGCATATCCCTATAAGCTATGTTGCACAATCAAATCAACTTTAAATGGATAGCTAGCATTTACGCTTTGCAATAATACAAATTTTAGGGTTGGCTATCGCCTGGACAAAAATTTCTTCTTGATGAATTTAGCTCTCGATATGGTGTTCGAAACTGCTATCGACATCTTTCCTACATCGATGAACTCTTAACCTATGCCGATAAGGGCCAAATGATTGACGCTACTCTGATACAGTACAGCTATATGCATTGCATTTCTCACTTTAAAAACAGTGGGTTAGTATTTTTTAGCACATGATACCTAATTAATTCATAAGCTATTTACTACTAGGTTAAAAAGTAATAATTAAATTGATTGATCCTCATTTCAGTAGTGTTACTATAACAGTCGATGAAAAAGAAATGTATGACGACATAAATTCAAAATTACAAACCTGGCTGACAAAGAATATTACTAACTTTTGGTATGAATTACTAATTGATAAACTTTCAATAATCGTATTTGCATCACTCTTTGAGATTAACTTAAAATCATTGAATCGCATATTACATCGATAAATCGTACTATCTATATTTTTTCTTTTTAGGAATTACTATCCCTTTGGAAAACCAGATGGAGCATTAAAGGCTACCGTACAACTGTTTGAAAAGGTACTTTATCGCACGTAACGCAATCCGAAAGTTATCATCAAAATTATGTAGACAATTTCTTTAACTTGAAACTATCTACTAAAATTCACTATAGCTAAAAATGGACGACGGTCGAAAAACAGAAAATCAACAAAAAGAATTTGCTGCGGAGATGAAAAAGTTAATGGAAATTGCTGCCTTAGAAAATTATACTTCCCTTTCATCATACGTACAAGCATCTGGTATAAATAATTTATTCCTTCAATTGATATCGTTGCAATCAAAACATTTTACATTGACAATATTTCTTCAGCTACCAATGGAAGTGCAACCGATTACGAAAAAAAGTTAGAAGAAGTACTTGTATTAGCAGAGTCCTGCCGAGACCTACTGAGAATGACAGAAGAATACTATGATGATGTCAGAATTATTACCTAATTGTGTTAATAAATCATTCCTTACATATAGTAATATATCTGCTTAATCATATCATAGATATGGAGCAAATTTCCTGGACTATTGAATTATCATTCTGAAGTTTTGTGGTCACTTTTCTCGGTGGACATGGATGATGCAATTAAAGCACAACCGGAAGATACTTGGAACTGTTTTATGCTGTTTCAACTTCTTAACGATTACCTTAAAAGCGAACGTAAGTATAGCTTAGAAAGAGATGGATATTTCTCACAGTGAAAATGTTTTCTTCGGTTTAATTTGAATACTTTTACATATAGCCAATTTGCGAAATGGAAAATTTCACAAGCATCTTAGAGTTCTGTTCGCTCCGAAAGTTATACGATATATTGACTTGATGGAATCGTCTATAGCCTTATCAATTAATGTCAACTTTCAGAAAGAAACATGGATACACGTTGAGTAAGTAAATTGCTCCAGTGAATGAATAGAATTTGATGGATTACTACTTTATGCGTGTTTCTGTATGCGTATGATAATTTTATTCAACTGCTGTTATTAGGGGTGGCAATGCAGCTTCTGAAGACCTACTGTATAAATTGGGCAAACTACAACAGTTTGTAAGCTACCTAAGTTGGCCGGATGAAGTTTTCGGAAAGCATTTAACTCAACGGATAAATCTTATGGCAGCAGATATGATAGGATCGTGCGTTAAAAGGTACAGTATTCATGAAGCCATGCAATTACTATGATGCAAATGACACCTTTACAAGATCTAACACTTGCTACATTGCTATTGATACGTATAGAACTTCTGACTTTTTCGAGACAAAGCTGAAGCGAAAAAGACGAAATATAGACTATCTATTACCTCCAGAGATCTGTGTTGCGATTAACGTGGTCGTATCCTGTCTTAAACAGGTAAAGCCTGAATTAATCAATACGTCTTAACGTAGTGTTATTTGTGCAATATATGAGATCATAATCGTTTATACTGTATTGCTTTGCAATATGCAGTTACCAGAACTATGCGGTGGTGAAGTGGATGGAGGGCAGGTAAGCCTTTCTGTAAATTATTAAGCGATATATAGACAAAATCACTACATGTAGCGCTTTACTTTGAGATAATTTGTTAATATATATCGATTCGTCATCAATGTCAGCATCATTATCATACCGATATCAATACCTATCTTAATGACACGTTGGTCATGTTTAGAAACCAGTTAATCGAAAAGGTAAATTCTTAAATTATTACGTAGCTAATTCAGTAATTCTGTTATATATTTATAATGGATGAACTTTTATTATCCAACAGCTTAATGCAGCTATTGAAGCTGTACTATCTAAGCTTTCCAATTATGACGAAGGAACAATTACCGCATCATTATTTTCGTGGATGGTTAGTAATCACGTTATAATTTCACACTATATTTATTTACTGTGTACCAATGCTCATAATGCACATTATTTTGGCCATGTCAGAAACCTGGTGATGAACTAGCAACCAACTACATAAAAAGCGTTGGCCGTAATTTAAAAATGTTGAGCGATAAAATCATCTATGAGAAATTCATGGGGCCGCTATTCTGCGTAAGTCATCATTGTTATCTTACAGCCACTTGCACTAGGCTACTTCTCAACTTAACACAAGGTGATTATTATCAAAATTAGTGTTGGTATGAGAAAATTTTATACCTGATAAATGAATGGCTTACTGACCGCTTGGATGTTTCCCTGCATCCATACCAAATATCAACAATTTCCTTACTTATGCAGGTATGAGCATGAAGCATAGTACGGTATATGTACTTGCGTTGCGCGTTCAATAACACGATTTCGAAATGGCAATAAATCAATTGGTGCTATTAAACTAAGCCTATACCATTAGAATTTTAAGGCACTAATTAGTTGAAAATTGAATCAATTGCATTTGAACCTTTAGGGTTTGACTGAATATTTTGAAGGTGTTGGCGTACCAGAGTCTATCATGAAGAACCATTTGTATCATTCAATTAGCACCCATATACAGATCGAGCAAGGGTCCAACCGCGATGCCGATAATCAGGGCAATACAGTTATAGATTCATCGACATAAAGGTCTTTAGCGTAGAATGGTATTACTATATAAATTTCTAACTACGCCTTACTTAATCCAATCTCAAGAAATTAATATACGGACCCGACTTTCAATGATAATTAAACTCATACTCTAGATACATGGTCCTAATTACATTTATTCTACCAGCAATGAAATTGTCATGAATTGCAACGTAGTTTCAGGTTTATCAATATATCCAAATTTATATTCGATATTAGTTTAACTTAGAAATTTATTTATCATTTGCTTTACTCGGATTTTTAAACGCAAACTGTGTCGGTTCATTGTAATAGTTATTAACTTTACCTAAGTTGAGATCGTAGGCATTTCGTATTGGTATTTATACTACACCATGACGCAGTAAAATAACAACTGCTGTTAAGTAACCAATTCGTATTGGACAAAGACTGTAAACTTCTCCCGTTCTTGGAAGGGTAACATTACTCTGAGATGAGAGTTTCTGAAACATGGAAGAAGATAATGTATTAATTTTATGGCTATTTAACATACGCCGTATTGTTTTATGTTAATTACTAGCTAATATGCGTAATAATAATGAATGTTAGCCAATTACGGTATTCTTGTAATGCATTATAATGTAGGTAAATTTCTTTTTTTATTACTATTCTGCTCTGTGAACAGTTATACTTTATATTATGGCGTTAAAAATAATACATAATTGTGCATAGTACCATCCATGTATGCGTATATTGCTATAACATGTGAAATTATCGTAATGGTATCATTTTAATTTAGATTGCTAACCATCTAGTTTTAGTAACATTTCTTTATCTACGTGTATAAAGATATCTCTTTACAGCTTTGAATGAAAATAAATTATTTATCACTATACAGTTAGCCACTAAATATAATAAAAGCTTAGTTCTTGGAAGATAATATTTTTGAAATCAGCACTTACATTAAATGTTATTAATAAGCGATAATTTTTCTGAATCCATTTCGTCAATGCATTGACATGTATTTAAGTAATCTATACTCTTAAAACTTATTATAATATCCATTAACTTTAGTTAAATAGAACTCGCTGATATCAACACGTGATTTCGGCCCCGGTTTAAACGCCTATTTAAGGCCCAGATATTATGGTTTGAGTCACAATGATGCCCATTTGTTTTTTATCTTTCCCCTAAACTACATGAAATAACAAAATCGGATGATATATCACCATCATTGTATAACAATCTAATTACGGTAAAACTGTAGTAATAGAATCTTAGTTATGATTATAGAACTAAATTATTCTACTGTCACTGCTTAAACTCTGCGAGAAGGAAACGTAAACTAAACAGTCTATAACTATTGACTTAAACGTTAAATACATAGCAAAGTACCGTAAAAATAGAACTTTATTAGCACAAATACATCCACAACTTTTCACAACTCAGCTCAACTCCTTCTTACTCAAAATGTTTCCGTTTATATATAGGAACCTTCAGGGACTATGGGTGGAGGTAAAATTTTTTCTTTAATAGTCCCTGTAACTGTCTCACTTGTAAGGAACAATAACAATATTATTATTATACCTTACTAGGAAAGACAAGTCGAACTAAGATGTTCCTTACATAGCTTTTCTATCAGTATTCAGTATTGCAATTATTAATATTTGAGTAAATGGAGTGCTAATTTCTGTACTATAAGAGTATATTTTAACTCTGATTAATTGCAAAGTTACCATGACAAAATCAGAAGTAATCAAACAGATAGCAATATCAGCTCTCTTTTAAGTATTCTAAATACGCTAATTTAATATCCATCTGCTGTAGTTTAGTAGCAACGAACAAATTGCGGAATATTTTACCGGAAAAGAGTAAAGGAAAGTTCAATTAGTAATCTTTTATACGTGAATTCTCGGCAAACTGCAGTAAATTCCCCGAGAGATCTAACTGTGTTTAATATCACCAACAATTGTGTTAATTTAAATAGTAACTTTTTCATTGCAATTTCTTATTGTGATTTTTTTACCGTGAATAAACATTAGTGGATTTCTGCATAAAATTGCCTTATAGGATATTTAAATGACGGCAAGCAAGCAATTCTTATATTCTGTTTTATAGTTTCTATTAGTATCTATAGCATAATCCATCTATCTTCACCTAAATTGTATGGGTCTAACTGAAAGCATGGTTGACTTATCCTGAAGTCATTGTAAATTATTCTTCCATTCTGGCTTATATTTTCGAATTACAGTTACAACCTGTCTCTCTCTTCATTTCACTTCCATAATTCTTAACGAAATCATTATTGATTCATCCTGCTCAAATTATTAATAGCTCATCAGTTTTATCTTGTAACATGTGCCAATATCTATAACTCTGTTACCGTCTAAGTACGAAATCCAGTCAATTCGCGAACTGCCTAGTCAATTTATGTTATTAACCGATGCAAATGATTTAAGGCTAATGTTGAGTGTAACAGTAAATGTCAGAATCAGAGAACTTGTAAAAATAAATAAAAATTTTCATCATCAGAACATTATCAATTCAATAAAAACTACTTATTTGATAGTAGTATCTCTAAATGTTTGGCAATTACTTCAGTAATTGCAAGTTACACACGTATTGATTATTTGAATCAGTCTATTATTACTATTATAATCGTCAAAGAAATATAGATTCTCTGTTTTTTTAGTAATATTACTGCATGAATAACGATAATTTCTCTAATTTATAAAGAAAGACGGTTTCTCTGATTTACGTGTTTTGGTATTTTTGCAGTTTGCGAACTGACTAGGCATCTCGCAAATACACTGAACTTCACTTCACACCCAAACGGGTACAGGTCTATCTGAATACAGAATATATCACTGAATTAAATTAATAAATTTAAAAGAGTAATTTAAAATTGTATTGAATAGATTCCAATTGCTATACTGTAAACGTGGGTGAATGCATAATTGTAGTAAAGTAGTGAAAAAGTATGATCGAAAACAATGGCAAGAATTATTGAGCTAGCTGAGCTAAATGTATGGTATTATACTATCTGTAAGTTTTATTTATACAAAATGTATCCGCTGACTATCTCGAAATAGATCTATCCAAATATATCACGAATATATTAAACTGATAAGTTAAAAAAGAGTAATCTAAAAATTATATTGAATAGGTTCCAAACATTACAAAGCACATACGAATGGTGCTCTATTTAGTTCCAGTAAAGTAGTATAAAAGTATGATCGAAAGTAACGGCAAGAATTATTGCACAAGCTGAGCTAAATGTATGATATTACGCTGTCTGCAAATTTTTATTAAGCAATGTGTATCTGTTAACAATCTTGAAATAGATCTATTCGAATATAGAATATATTGCTAAATTGAGCTGATAAATTCAAAAGAGTAATCTAACATTGTAATGCACAGATTCTTATTGCTATGCTGCGCATATGGATGAATGCTTTAGTTGTAATAACGTAGTATAAAAGCATGATCGAAAGCAGTGGCAAGAATTATGGAACTAGCTGAACTAAAAACATAATATTAAGGCACGCTATCCGTAAATTAGTAAATGCTCTTGAATAGCCGATTAACTCAAGTCAATGTATGACTATAAATAATACAGTAAGCTTGAAAATTTAATTTATTTGAATCAATCAATTTAATGTAATCATTAATAATAGTAAATGCGATTGAAAACGACATTTCAATAATATCATCCCTTGAATGCTTATGCAAGCTTTAGTTCTTAAATGAATTAGTCTCAAACTACATACCGTACTCCTATATACGACATTTTTCTTACATTTTAAACTCGTTATACTTAACTCCAAGAGTATCGTAGCTAATTATTAGACATCGGTTAAACTCATACTTATCGCCATATGAAAGCTTTAAGAAGAAATGCCCCCTTTGTACAAGGCAGAGAGTCGTCCTGTCGACATGATAATGCTATATAAAAAAATTACCCACTCGGTTTCCACGCTGTCTACATTTGGTGTGGAAGCGAATAACATCAAAATGCAAGATGTTGTTCGAAGGAAAGAAATGAAGTATTGCTTAATGCAATATCTGTTCAAACTCGATATGGCTACATCTTGAAAGCGAAGTCTCTTAATAAAAGGTTAAGCAATGGCAAGTCTTATTCTAACAACATATCGATCTACTCAAAACACCAATCACTTATGCAAGTCCCAACCTTATTTATCCGTTTTTTCTTTGATATGGTAATAACTTTGCTTTTTACATGTGTATATAATTTGTTTGTTTCCAGTAACTATTTACTTAAGATGAATCACTATTATATATACAGTACAACCATCTTGATATCTACATTTAATGAAAAGTAAAGTGATAGTTAGGCATTCGACCATTCCCGATAAATCGACTGGTAAGACGTTTAAATGTTGTTGAGTAACTACGGTAATTAGTAGGAGCTATTATTTTACATTAAATAATTCAAGTTGCTTAAGAATAACATGTAATTTACTAAATATGGACTAATTAAATATCTCATTTAAAATCATCGACGTATAACATTTAGGAAATGTAATAATTTGGTTATGGGTGTTTGTAAAGCAGATGTAATTCGTGTAGCTCAGTCTAACAATGTCTTCTTGTTTAAATTCTTCCAGATATAATTATCGAGTATCGTAGCGTTCTCTATTAAAAGTAAAGAATAGTAAAGTATTTGTGTTTTCGTGTATGTTTAATCGTCAATGTGTGTCTATTTACAGTAATAATATAACGTTAATTAATTATTACCAATTCAAAACCATTTCATCGACTAATTGCTATTTTAATAAAAGTAAATGATAAAAATTATGACCACGTATCCAGTCTGGCTCTAATAACGGTAACTGGTATAATCTAAAACCATTTTAACTATATCCCGATAACAAGACAGTACTAAAAACGTTTGCGTATGTTAAAATTAAAATAATAAAAGGCAAAATTTAAGTATACGGCATAGCACTGTTATTATGCTGATGATTGATTCTTAAAGTGATAGGAGAATACATAAAAACTGAGACAATACGAAACGATCCTACCGAGTTCGACGACATTTACAAATTAACTAAATGAGTATAAATCAATTTAGGGACTTTTACTCTCTATTCAATTGTACGATATCAATATGATTTAGCTTTACTAAATTACCAAATGCTAAATTTTTTTATTTTCGACTGTGATATCTCGCTCTTCAGTAGGAAATCAAAGATAGTCTAACGTCTATAACGTTTACAGAAAAAGAGTACCAGTTGACGATGCATACAAGAAGAAAATTATCGCTATTTAACTCAGATATAATCATCGTAGTAACAAAGTACAGACAATCTGCCGTAATGCAGGATTAACATTGTATCCACTACTATAAATCATCACTGTTACTTTCGAAGCAAGCATCAAGCATATAAAAATTTTTAAAGATATCGAAGTCTTTCACTTGCCAAGTTGTTAAACTGGTACTTCAATAAATTATCATTTATCTATTTACTGTATGTATTAAATTAGACCATTTTCGTCGCCCAAGTCTATGATATTTTTCAAAAAAACTTAATTCAATTAGATTAATCAGTGCATGATTTAACCAACATAACGATGATAAAAATCGGAGGACAGATTAAACATAAAAGGATGTATAAAATCACATTATTGGAGTGATCTTCATGGACAACAACAGTAGTTTGCGCCGGTTGTACAACTGGTTGAGTAATAGTAATTTGCTGTTGTGGAGGGTAGCCTCCTTGTGGCGGCACAGGATAAGCTTGCTGTGGTGGAATAGCGTATGGTGGCGGTTGCATTTGTCCGAGAGGTATTCCTTGTGGTGGTGGTATTTGGCCAGCCTGTGGTGGCGGGTAAGGATTATATCCAGGTTGCTTCGACATTTTATGATTAATTTTTATTTAAATGTACGATAGTGAGAGTTGAAGAGGAGTAGAGACAACGCTGGATTGATTTTTAACAACTTCTTTCCGCGTAGCGTTAAAATGTTCTAATCTATAAAAAAAGTCCAGCAATTGTATTTTATAGACAGCAATTGTATTTTATAGATGATTATAATTCTTTTATCATTTTAAATAGTAGATATAAATAATACAAAAATATTCAATAAAGGTCGTCAAGGAATCTACCTACGTCGTACTTGCAGTACAATAACTTAACAAAAGTCGATATTATAATAATAATATATTCAAAGTTTAACAATAATGCATTGAACGTAGAACAATCCTGACATGGTTAGTATAGGCGCAATGATCTTGATGCATTGAAACTATATTGTAATATATCGTAGAGAGCCAAATTTTAGCACAGGCGTGTACAGTTTTCTTAGAATAAATACAATTGTAATTGTAATTAATTACCTCCGACTTTTCAGGCAAATATACATAATATACTTTCGATGATTTCAATATAATCTCTAGACCTTGTAATGTAACTTAGCATTATTATTGTAGACTGTTAGCCATGTTTAGTATAATGTGCGGTAGATATTTGGTAGCTATAACTATAGACTGTAGTGGTAGAGACTCTATGCTAGAGTACAGATGACTATGTACAGTAAGCTGTTGAGTTACTAATAAGGTTATAGGTAAAAATAGAACTGTAAATCATATATTAGGAAATGGTTACTTCATTGTACTTTAGCTGGTGTGAATGATGCTACGTAAGTACTGTAGTCGTATCCATATTGGATTAATGATGGTCCGCAGTAGAATAGTCTACTAAGAACAATTTAACTATGTGTAAAATAAGGTAAAAGGTTGCTATGCGGATTGTAGCTGCGAATGCTACGAAGAGTATAAAAGCATGCAACTTTAGATTATTCTGTTAGTTCATTCTAGAAGTCGTTAGTAGTAGTATTCGGCTAGAGTAGAGCTGTGTGTAGTTAATCTTTGTATAAGATTCAATAAAGCCCTTATTTTTCTAAAATTTGGAATCTCGTGATTGGTATATATCACAGACCTATATAATAGTTGAAAGTTATGCTACCTGCTGTAGATAATTAGTGTCGACATTATACGAGTGGAGGTACATTTAGATCGATAAAGTGACAACTTACAAACTTACAAGAGATATACTATAGTATCATAAGCATGATGAGATCCAGTACTGTCTCCTTCTCCTGCAAAATCAAGTGCAAATCTACAATGTTAATATCATAGGATGAAAGCCTTTCTATTATGGATATTTCAAATGTATATGTTATGCCTGTTGTATACCATACAAGAAATTACTAGAGTGTGATACTACTACTGTTTTTTGTAAATATTATCAAATGCTCATTTTAAGAATATGCTATACAAGTATAATAAGTAATGTATTCATCCGTGCACATTCTCTATTAAATAAAATTAGCTTAACGTTCTATCGCTTTGCTGCCAGAGATATCACAATTCATAATGTAAAGATTTACCGGGTATTATAAGTTCTTATTGGTTTGTCATGGTGTATGAGTTTATTATAACACAATATATACCTATTAACGTCTGAATAAATATAAGAAGTAAATAAGTTCCTTGCTTGTGATATTGTATAAAAATATTAATGAATGTTTTAGCATGTAGAATCCAGTGTTTACAGTTCCTATGCATATTTCATTATTACGGCAAACGGTAACTAGTCAAAGTTATATTGGCGCATCTGATATTAAATAGCCCTTCACATATGATAATCACGAAAGTAATTACGTAATATTAAATTAAGATTGCCATTCAACGTATGTTCTTATAGAAGCGAAGTCAATATTTCTAGCTCTTACCCATATTGTAACTCTCGAATTATCCCGGCTAGTCTTTTAATATTTAGTGAAATCCCATATAGTACCGTAAATTTTATGGACTATAGTTCGCGTCTCGCTTAATTAATTAACAATTATCGATTCGATATATGCTATGGACTTTACTGGTACAGTGATGTTAACTAATAGAAATTGATCTTCGTGTTATTGCTTGCTTAATGGTCATTTCACACGATAAATAAATTATGAAATTCAACTGAGACTAAATTAGAAATACTGTGTATATAATTGTGCGGAGATAGCAACTCCGATTTTTTCTTAATCCTACCCTTGAGGAGCTATCAAAGAATTCAACCTATTTGCATAAGTATTGCATAAATAATCCGAGTCTATTACAAGTTCCTATGCAGAATATCCTATATTTTAATTAGTCACGTTCACACGAAGGGATATTGTACTCTGCAAAGGAAATAATTTATAAATGTAAAGGGAATTCAGAGTGCGAGTATTTTAAATTGGACATCCTTTGGTAAACCCCACTTTATAAGTTTACAGTATGTAATACACACAATTGCATGCTTCTGTTAATATTGCATGTGCATGCAATTTTTAATTTCTTGTCTATAAATTTGATCTGCTAATTTACTAATACTGTGTAAATAGCATCTTCTTCATAATTAAATGTAATCGTACTAAATACTATATAAAGTTGTAAAATATTACATTTCTTGCTTACTTTATCCCAGCATCAAACTGTGGTATCATCAACAGCGCATTATTTATTAGTATCTCGTTCATAATTAGTTGTAATCGTACTAAATACTATATTATGCTGTATAATACTGTATTCTTTGCTTACTTTTGTCCGAATATCAAACTGTGCTATCATCGACGGCGCATTATTTATTAAAATTTGTGACATTGGGACTGTAGGTATACAGTAGCAATTCAACCTTCTACTACTTCAGATCAGCTTTATTGTTTGTCGTTAGAAATCTAATTAGTGGATAGTAATTAATCCCTAGTATTAGTTAGCAATACAACAGATATACTAAATATGATTGGCAAAGGCTGCTACATTCATTTTATACACATGGTTAGTACACAGCCATAGAATAATATAAAACGTACTCGTATGCTTCTATCAGGATTACAAACTACTATTGGACATGAAGGTAGAGCTATCAGTACAGACCTACACAATTTTACTTCCGATAGTATTTTCAAATTTTTTCTATATACTCTTACATGAAGATTCTTCTGTCACGAAATTAACTACCGTATCGTATCGTTGAATGATTGATCTATCAGTATCATTTACCTTCATCCACCATGAACCATCCCAAAACTATGTGGTGGAACATTTATCGACTTGATTTATCTATGGAATCAGTCTGCTATCCGGTTATCATGTATTAAATTAAAAGCAATTAATCTTCATTTCAAGTCGTAGCTAACATGTTAATCACTCGTATTGCAGGCATAACGAGCCATGATCTTTAACATATCGATCATACAATTGCTATCCAAGGATGATATCACACATATACTACATGGTAGTTGACCAATAAAATCTTACATTTTCTATCATTTGAAGTAGTACGGAAAACTGGTGTCTTAAAGAGTCTCTCTTCTTTTTTTGAATCATATTCCGTAGTACGAAGTTTACCTTATACAGTACCGTATAGGATGATATTTCGTTTACCCACTAATCCAATGCTTATAATAATTACAATTTTACAGCCAATGAGTACACACTTCAAATCTTAGTTAAATAATTAAAAAGCAACTTGTCTCAAGTTTCAAGTCTGACAGGTCTATCAAATGGTAATACTATCTGTTAAATGAGCACATTATCGTAAACCGTCAGCAAAGCGACAGGAGTTTGCACTAGTACAGTTTATTGATGCGTGTAATAATCATATCCTTCCCTTTAAATATGCAAGGAATCACTAAGAGTAGATACCATAGAATTTATTTTTAAGAATGGATCAAATAATTCAATCGTGTTAAGTATTTCAAGACTATAATAGTAATACGTTACATACGATCATTAACCAATCATACATTATCATTGAATGAAGGTGCACCATAGCAAAAAGACGTATACAGCATAAATTAGAATACAGATAAAACAGAAATTCTTATTAATTCACCCCCTTAAATATTCATTTCATTGTAATTTTACAACTATAGTAGTATTACACATACTATTTTAATATTCGTTCATTGAAATCTAGATGCACCCTCGATAATAGTTTTAGTATTATATCAACCGTTAGACCGCATTCTGTAGATAGTGCAGTCATACTAAAAATATTACGGTACAAATAGGACAGAAGTAGAACCAATAAATTTAAATTCATCGGAGAAAATAGTAAAGAATAATCTGTTGATGCAAAGAAAATAAAGTTGGCCTCTTTAGCGCTGAATATTGACTAGAAAGTAAGATACACACAATGACGATGAAAAGGACCCGCTAGTTCACACCAATCTATCGCCTACATCTATGCGATCAATACAGGAATGGCTATAACGATTAGAACAGTTCTTCTGACACAAAATGTAGTTGTACAGTTGCAATTAGTATATTAACGTATCATGTGTAGAGTAAAATCACCAGTATGCCAATTCTTTAATGTCATCGTTGAATAAAATGGTGTCGCTGTAATAAACGTAATCATACTACTTATACATGACTGTAGCTAGTATTCTGTAGTAAGACACATTTAGTGAGTTCTACGTACAGTACCTTCTACTTGGCCAAGCACAAACAACTGATAGGATAGATCTATATTAATGAAATGAAATAATATCCAAGGCAAGCCATATCTTGCATCGCAAAATCGTTATTATAGCGATGATGATAGCCGTAAAATGTGATCACTTATTATTAAATGGATATCTTGAGAAAGACTAATAACGTCTTTAAAGAATATCGCGTATACAGTACGCTATAGATGTAAGTCAATCCAAAAGTGCGAGAACAAATACTGTCGATACGGCGGCCATCGGCATCATCATTTAGTTCAGTTTTGAGTATACTGTACAGTGGGTTAAATCATGAATTGACAAACACCACTCTACCCATCCAATCATTCAAACACACGAATAACCAGTAAAATATCAACAGAGCCAAACGATAACGAAGTATTGAGATGCAGTACATTGTAAGGGTAGGTGTTACTGATAGATAACAATTTTTTAATTATGATAAGAATAACTGATTATAATTATTTATTTTTAATGAAAACCAAGAGACACGATGTTGCGTCCATTTTCTGTAGTAATGAAAATCTTTCATTGGCTTTCGTACGGATTAAAGTAAAAATGAATAGAATCAAGTGAAATTTATATCTGTTGGATCCAATTTTTTGACTACACTTCATCCCAGTCTCGAATTCTTGACTTCATATATTTTGTAACATTGAAAAGACTACTGATAAAGTCTTGATCATTTGGATCACAACGTATCGGATTTTAGTCAGTGCAAGATTTCACTAGCATGACGATGATAAAAACTGGAGGACAAACCAGACATAATAGAATATATAATATGACGTTATCATCGTTCTTTTCGTGTACAACGATTGTCCGTTGGGCTGGTTGGGCTGCTGGTTGATGAAGGACAACCGAGGAAGATTGAACTGGCGCTGGGTAAGCCTGCTGTGGTGGTTGTCCGAAAGGATAGCCTTGGCCTGATGGTGGCATGTAACCACTTTGCGGTGGCGGAATACCGTATCCTTGCTGTGGCGGAACGCCGTATCCTTGCTGTGGTGGAGGATAAGGTTGTGCCATTGGCTGAATACCTATACCCATACCTGGCTTTCCCGATGGATCTGCATAGGGCGGTGGAGCAGCCACTTGAGGTGGAGGAACAGAATAAGGTTGATATGGTGGTTGTTGAGACATGATGTGGATGAAAGAGAGGATCAATTAATAAAAACGAACTCACTACACGCTCCGAAGACGTTCAAGAGATGCGTCTACTGGGACAATATTCCTAGTGAAAGGTCAAGTAGTGTAAAAAAGCGTCGAGCGGTATCACTTCTAGTTATTCGTCTTAACACTACCTTAGTACTGTAATCACCCCGTGCAATTTATACTCTTGTATAGTGAGTGCACTCTTCAGCTTATTGCATGCAAAATTTTCAAGAAAAAATTCGCTCTACTTTCTATCTAAATGGAAATACAGAACAATCAATTTCATTTCGATAGTAACGGACAGACCAATTGCTTTACGTCTCATTTCGACTGTGCCGTGCCGTACATCTGTGTCGAACTATACTGTACTGTATAATCAATATCAATTTTTTTTTCTGTACTGTACAATATGATTGTTTAGAGCTCTGCTACCAGATTGTTCAGTATGATGTCATCGTTCGGTCTATGGTTATTCAGTACATACGTAATGCGCAACTTGCATGCGCAATGTGTCTTGACCACTACTATACTGTAAAATAAGAGTCTTGTAGAACACCATTGATGATCGATCATCATACAGGCACTTGATACTTGCTAAATCGCTATCGTTTGATTGTCAATCTACGTATAAATCTCTCCTACTGTACATTTAAAACTTACCGTAATAATCAATTACGAGTTTCCCAAAATCGAAATAAAGCCTGTTGCAATAAGTGCACTACTTCAGGATTATGACCATCTGATGTTTCGAACTTTACCATTATGAAAGTGTCAATCATTCAGCTTGTCTGACATGTATACTGAAATTCACCAGCCAATAATTAATTGAAGAACAAAATTTCTACAGTTACTTCTGCTTGCTACAAAAGTTAAACGTCGATCGTATCCCTACCAAACAAGTAAGTTAGTTAAAATAGCTACAAGTATACATTTTATACTTAATAGTTAGGCTTAGTTATACTGGCAGACTGCAATTCTTAGTTGCATGCAGTCGCCAAATTCCCTGGTATCAAATACAGTCACTATCTACTGTATATTTCAATCACATTCCTAAAATTTTGTTTGTCAACCATTGACCAGCAAATAATGCTTTATTAACAATATACTCATGTAATAAACGAATAGTCAAGTACGCCATCAAGATATCGTACACATGACAGTATCAGTAAGGAGATCATACAAAAACATAAATACATATTAAATTTCCATCAGATAACACTTCATGACCGCTCAGATGAGTCATTTAGACTATGTATCAACTATTCGTAGTATCATTCGTCGTAGTGCAATTAGCTGCAGAATCAACGATACTTTCTCACTCATATCATCTTTATTAATTAATAGGCAATATACAGAAATGATAGATGAATATGAGAAATCTGCAGCTATAGCCATCGGTTATGTACAAGCACAAGTAATCACTCTTTACATTAGCAAGGCAAAAATTTTTCTACAACCATACTATGTATCATAATTACTATGCAAATCATGATCATCAGCAACGAAAGGAGGATCATCAATGTTACCATTCCCATTGCTTGATAGAACATTGACACCACGACTATACTTCAATGCCCGTTCAAAAGCATGCATTACGTTCCTTCTCATTGATACTTTGCGACTCTCAGTTAACTTTTCATTGTCAAAATCGCTATCAACGCCCAGTGGATGTAATTTATAATAAGGAAGCCATTGCCTAAAGCAAAAATAGAATTATAATGTAAACCATCATATTTACCATGTCTTAGCATTATTTCATCAACATCTTTTCATACCAAGTTCGCCTAACGTCAAAAAACAAAACCAAGTACACCGCTGCAGAGTCTTCGCCGGTAAGTCTATTTTTTAATACATCAGCAGGAGGGCCTGGAATAGTTATGCCATTATGAACAAAACCACAGTTTGGAGTTGTAGAGTCGATAACCTGATACAAAGAAATTGTATTTAAAGTCAGTTAGCCCTTTCCCCTTTAATTTATATTGTTACATATTCATGGTATAAGTAAACCTACCAAAGCTGGGTAAGAAGGAAATCCTCGACATTTTGCCCAAACCAGGTCAAGGTGACTGTACCGATTCTTGGTAGAATCGTCCATAATTCCGTTTTGCCCGTTTAATTCGACTGTTTCCGAAGCCGAATCTGCAGTATGATTCTGATGATTAACTATAGCAGTATCTTCGATAGATGGTGACTCGTCCTGACGGCTGTTAGCATCAGGAGAATTATTTACAGGAATACTATGTTCACATTCATTCATGCCATTACATACAGCATCACCAACTAATGATCCAAGGGTAGAAGAAGGAGGAGTTTCTATACTTACATCCGGTTTTAAACTTTTCCCTTGCAATTCTTCACCTTGATTACATACATTATTGCCAATCGATTGGTTTAAATGCTTTATGCTAGCATTATCTTCAATCGATTGTCCTGCAATATCATATTTCAATAAATTAGCATTATCATCGGGATGTGCTACTATTTCTGGGCTTAATAGCCCATTTTCTTGCATAATTCCATTGGTAGCGATTCTTTTGCTATCTAGTCGATGATTTTCATCCACTGATTTTCGTTTTCTTCGTTTACAGCTACGATCGAAATCTTCTCGGTCACTATTCACCACTCCCATGTCATTACTAGTTCTTCGCGCACTTGTAACGGTATTTACCATACCTATGTCGTTACTAGTTCTTCGTGAGTCTGTAGCTGTCTTTCTTACAAGGAATTCATCGATTTTAGTCTGCCTCTTAACACCATTATGAAATTGAATACAACTTCCGTTACCATCCGACAACTCTGATTGTATTTTGGCATTACAATTCACTTGTCCTTTTGTACTCTGAAAATAAAAACAAAATTTTTAAAATAAATTTATCAAATCCACAGATACTATCAACACATGCTTTATTTTTACCTCTTTCAGTTTATTTAATTGGCGCCTTGTAGACGCTACTTCTTTTTTGATCTGCTTTATCTTCATAGCTCTAACACCACTATGTTTAATATTTTTAGCACTTCTCATACGTTCGCTCAAATTTGAAAGTCGCTCTTCTAATATCTTCGTCTGCATGTCATCTAGATGATCTTTAGCTGCTTCTAGCTTGTCAAAATCTGTAACTGAAAAATTAAATTTATCAAACCAAATACCTCGCAGTATTAATATTTCATACAATATAATAATACAATCTCACAGTATTTACGGTATAATTGCTCCATTTAATACAGTACCTGCGTCTATAGCTAGATCGAACGGGTTATAGTTCTCCAACTTTAGCTCTTTATGTAATGAACTTAAAGGATCGACAAAATACTCTATTGCACGGCGAACTTCCTTAAATATAGCCTTGCCGGCTTCCCTCACTTTTACACCCCATTTATAGTAAATTGTATCCGGTTGATTATATGCCAAGCAATTATTTATCATCAAGTAAAAATCCGACTCGAAATCCACTATACTTTGGTAATGACCACTTTCCAATCGTTTTTCCATAGTCGATAAATCCATAGGGGATTCAATAAAACTCAGATAGTCTTTTACCTAATTAGCAAAGATCGTAATAGCGTCAAAGATTAATACTCATCTCCCTCATTAAGTAATTTTTACATTAAGAAATTGCTAACCTCTTCTAACGAAACGGGTTCCGCAAATATTTCGTAGCAATCCCTTTCACGTAGCTGATAAAGGCAACTTTTCAATATGCTATATAGAGGACGAATCCGCATATCTGTGACCTTCTGACATAAGCGCATCTAAAGACAGAAAAATGACAAGCACCCATTAAGCCTTAATACACATGCACTATAACTTGATTAAAATTAAAATGGTTTACTAATATGAACTGACATAGTCACGTTTCAGCTTCTCTCTCTTCCGAACTAATTCAATTAGCAATCGTGCGCGCTCTAAATCTTGTCTCAAGTGCCTCCAACCTTGAAGCTGTTCCTTTAAGACAGCAGCTTCATCTGCATTTTTAAACTATTTCACATCAAAGAGAGAGATGATTATTTAAGTATAAGTACTACAACGGAGGAAAATTTGAGAATTTATAATTACCTAATTTCTACTAGAATCGAATCATGATCACTAATTTATAGAATATAACATCGATAGTTACCTGATGAGCAACACGGTGTGTGGGATGACTAGCCTGCAATCTTCTTAATAGTGGAACACCATTACGTGATTGACGCTTTAGCATCCAATAATTGATAATCATTTGAATAAATTGAGCTTTCCGTTGAATGTTAATTTTTGAGCCAAGCTTAGTAATCCTATAATTGTAGTCCATAGAATTAATAATAAATAATCATGATACAACAAAGCTAGTGTAGTTATCGTGTACAAATTTACTTCATTTTTTCCTTACTAACTTGTGCATGGGTAATCTTGGGATGGAAACTACTGGTACTGAGTTTGATCTACGGTCTCCAGTTTTTCTTACATGTTTAATTTTTTGAGTTGAACTTTCAGCATGACTCCCCCCCATAGCAACATGGCCCGGAGGAGAATGAGCATGACAATAAGCTTCCTTTTTAACGGCAACAACAACTCCATTTTCCTTCAATGGCTCCATTTTCAGATACAGCCCAGCTTGTTGTGCACAAGTAACATGAAAAGCCGTATAACAATTAGCTTTATAACACTGGATACATGCTCCACTATTACGCTTTTTACATAAATAACATGGCAACTTCCAACGGGCTGCCGGAATTTTTTCTACAGAGTCTATAGGTTCCAAAAATACTGCGTTAGCGAAGCCAACTTCTGGTATCCAAAGGCCACAAACAACATGGGCCCATCGATTATCATCCGTTTGCTTGAAAGCACCGCCTTTATTAGGGCAAAATATACAATCTACAGGGCGAGAGGGAGAATTCAAGCAACGACGACAAAGCCACTGACCCTCCGGTATATAAGGAACACCATAGCATTCTTGATGTACAGCTAAATTGCACATATCGCAAAATAAAATAGCATTACTGTTTTGGCATTCGCCATCGTTACATATACAACACACAGCATCTTCATCGATGTAGGGATGATTATCGCCATTGACACCAGACGATCGACTTTCGAAGTACGATTCCTTCTCAAGCCGATCCATTAAATACTCGAAAATGTCCTCAGAGATCAAATTAAGGCCATTACTTTTACGTTGTTCATTGATTAAGTCTAGCCAGTAGTGATCTTCGTCATCTAAATCATATTCAATTTCTTCATCCAATTCTTCAGATGTTTTCTCTATGAACCGATAGTACGATTGAGGCAAATTGAAATTGCCCTTACAAACCTTTGGATGTTGGATTAGATCAAAAACAGGCTGGGGTAATTGTTGCAATGATTCTCCACCATAAGCTAAAAAAACCGCAGGCATTTGGTTTTCGTCAACTTTGTTTTCCTTCTCTTGAAGTACTACTCGTAATCGCTGATCTATAGGGATACGATGGAGTTTGCCTTCTTTCTCTACTTGGACCATTTTCTGCGCTTCCGCATACGTCAAGGTATCTCGACGCGAGGAATAATTATTCTTTGAATCCGAAGATTTATTTCTGCTATCTTTACCTTTTTTCAATTTACGTCGGCGACCACCTTTCTTTCGACTAGGCAACTTCTCTCCTGATTTAAGTGATTCGACGCTCTCACAGCCACTAGCAACCTCCAAGCTTGCAGAGTTCTCGAATTTGTCATCAGTATAATCGCTATCATGGTCGACATGTTTCAAATGATAAACCAAACCGCACAAACTCCTATAATGACGCTGACAACTATTATAAGGACAGCGATACGGCGGTGGGGTACCACGCAAAGATCTACAGTAAGCTTTATGATCTAACGTTTCGTCTCTCGTCATTTTATATTACTTGTAAATTTCACGCTAGCGAGTCCAGATCAACATGACTAAAGGGAAACGATAGAAATGGAGAAAAGAAAAATTTTCACTTAATTAATTAAATCATGCCGGAACAGTCCCGGTTCACTTATAATCAAAATCTCTTTGTCCCAAAAAGTCAAATCATCAAGTTAAATATGAAATATTGTACTGTACTTTACAACGAACGTACATACAGTACCTACACTACTGTATTTGTCAATTCGCAATTATCATATGCCGCATGTTAATAAAAAGCAGTCAGATCAACCCGTCTGTATTCAAATGCTTCAAAGTCTTTATAATCATACACCCTTTCAGATAGTGGGTGATAAATTATAAAGCTTACTCTATTAATAATTGGAGAGTAAATAGGGGACTTTGGAGATGTTTAGTAAACGGCTAAAAACTTTGGCATTTAAAGTTATAGTGTTTATTTACAAAAAATAAAAATTTTTTGCCTGGATTATCTAGCCGCAAGGTCCGTAGCCTCCGAACCAGTACTCTTTAGAGCACTGCTCTATGGTGTACAGTATAGCGCTGCACGGATGTTCAGAACTCGGAAGGCCTGGCATTTGTATGGGTCACGGCAGTTTCATCATGTTACACATGTACAGTACATTGTACAGTACAGTACAATCTACAGTAGCTCTGCACAGTACAGTAAGCGCTAAATGTGAACGATCCTTGAACACCGGAACTCGGTAGAAAAATGGAAAAAAAACAGTCAAGATTACATTTAACCTTTAAACCGTATAAAATGTCGCAACGGTTATAATTATGTAGCAGGTGTAAGCAAATCCTCGAGCGTATACAGTAGAGTTCAATCAAAAATCACAGGTGTTAATAATCCTTTAATAAAAATTTTTCCTATGACGACTTTGTTGCACGGAACTGATGAACAGCATCGCTGATTGAAGTACACGTATAAAAATGTCTTGCTATTCATAGAGTTCTAGACATTGTGCTAGTGTGCAGCAGTGTAACTAGAAGTTCATAGTTGCGACATTCAAAGTTAAGATGAACAAAATGAAACCCAGTATGTCGTGGAAATATAAAAATGTTTCTAATTACTGAGAGCGGATTAGAACCCTGTACAGTACTGTACTGACAGAGACTGGTACTGAGTACAGTACAATAAGTACTGTAGCAAATATGTACAGTACTGTACAGTATAGTACAGTACACTGTAAATCACGTTAATTCATGCCCATGCTAGCATCAGTATGAACTCAGTATCAGATCATACAGTCCGCGCGTCCGTACGTATGATACGCAAAGTCTCGTTAATTTCGAATCAGCCATCTTTGCATTCGAGTTCAATAATCGCATCTTGTGATTATAATTAACAGCAAATCAATTTATCGCTGCGCTGAAAATTGTGTAATGCAGTCAAGAAAATTCAATGTTATGTATTATAGTATATTCAAAATCATCCTACTAATAAAGGCCTATAAAAAAACGTCTTAGTTAGCGTGGCGAACAAACGTGTCCGATCTAAAATAGTACAAAGCATAACTACTAAGGCTGTTATTACATGCCGAAATCTTACTCTTAAATTAGTCCGCTTCACGGCAATAACGCGGCAGGAATTAGCTCACGAAGGAGTGCCGGTACGACAACTTAATTTTCGCATTCGCCTCTTTCCAAAAGTCTACCAGGTTGAATAAAAGTAAAGAAAAAGGTACATAGCAATAAATTAGAACGTTTTGAAATGTAACAGCGACGGGATTCTACAACGGTATTATCATGGTATTATGCTATAACACTATTTTACCAGCTAGCACTATTAGCAGATATAACGATAATTGTCTAAAAGTGGAAATTTCAAAGGACGACTTTCATTTTAAGAAGAGCGTAAAAGGTAAAGAAATTCAAGGTTCTAAAAGACTTACAATATTTCAATGACCAGACATAGCGGCAAAGAGTACGACAGTGTAGACTCTGTGTACGGTGACAGCAACTTTAAGCAATCTTTTAAACACGGCACCACTCGAAATTATTCTAGTAATAATGACTACAGCAAATAATAATAGCCAGCACACGGAGTCACACAAAGAGTACCTAGCGGACAGTACAAAGAGCTGTAATAATGGGGACAATGTACGGTACTGAAGCGTTTCAAGCTTTCCACATTTCCTAGTGCAGTACTGTTAGTGTGTTCGTACTACGGTAGTCTACAGTACATTTCCACGGTATAACTTACAGTACAGTAGTACTGTACTGTACAGTGTACTGTACAGTACTCAACTTGGAATTGCATTACTGTACACTGTACAGTACAGTGTACAGTACAGTACAGCGGTTCCTTTCATTGAAAGAATGGCCATACAAAGGCATACTGTACAACTATAGACGATAACTGTACACTGTAGGAAATAGTGCTACAGTGCACTACAGTGTAATGGTACCGCATGTACGGTAAGCGAGTCAGTAAAATGCTGTAGCTGTGTTTATGATTTGCGTTCACGCTTCATTTTGCCGCCAATCCAATTTGGCTAAAAAAAAGTACGACAGTCCTGTACAGTATTATACTCCGAATAAGCCCAAGGCTCTATACTGTATACTATAGAGTGCTGGATGGATACGTCAATTCGTCATCTTTTCTCAAGTCAAGTGCAGTAATGCTGATGTAGATCAAGCACAGCAGTCAAACAGTGTTTTTTTCCCATCATTGAAATACAGCTGCGAGCGTCATTTCTGGTGTTTTAATTGTTTTCGTATTGCTATGAAATCATATGACATGACCATCTGCCTTGAAGCCATTTTACATCATTATTATTCTTGATTATACCTTTGTGGATATTTGAATATCAATGTTCGCCTTACATTTTAGGATTCAATTCAATCTTTATTCACTAGTTAAGTTCAATTACTTGTATCTTTCTTACAGCCATAGTAAATCTCGCATTCTCACAGACTAACTTGATTTGACGTTGTATTAGTTTTAAAGACTGTTACAGGTACAACGATGTTGTAAGTTATTAGACGTACATCAAGTTGTTACATTCATTTCCACTCAACGTTGACGTTGAAAGCTTCATCCCCCCCCCGTCACACACGTTACACGTTATACTGTACAACGATCATCCATCTTTTGTATCCGTTAATTACCTATTGATATGTTGATATGCATCACCTGTCGCCACGATCATCATTGGTGAATTCTTATGCCATGGCGGGCAAATGAATGAATTAAGTAACGATGTTTGATTATACAAATCACTGGAAAATGCAAGAGTAACGCATCATTTTTTAGTGAAAAAATCGTGATAAATCGCTGTTTAAGATTGCAATTTATTTCCTGACGTTAGACTTGATGAGCAAAAGAATTCTGACACATACGGCAGTACTGTACAACGTTTTATTTTCTTTAATTTCTACTTTGTAATCAATCTACACTTTACAGTCAAGGTACGTTAAGAACTGCAGTGAAATGGCTTGTCAATGGCGCTATTCGTCATTAAAAAGATGTGCGTCAGCCACAAGCTAACATTACGACCACAATTGGAGCGGAAGCCCGTTACCAACTATCGAAATAAGATTCGATAGAAAGGAAGCATGCATAAGCCTTAAAATGAGATGAAGCTGAAGGATAAGGCCTCCCGTAATATTAAATCGATTATTGGTATTATTATCGACTTTTACATGGTAATGAGTCCGTCTGAAATAATCTTGGAGTAATTTAATAAAAAATCATGGACTCGTAACTGATTGCAAGTTTCCCCAAGTAAACGGGTTGATCACAAACTAGATTCACTTGTGCGTGTTGGATGTATAGTACTGGATATATTTGTTAAGATTGGAGACTAGAAATACAAATTATTCATATTTACAGTACTTACAGTTAATACCAATAATTACAGTACAATTCTCATTAAGGGCAATGAATTAATTACACATTATTTAAAATACCATCCACAAACCGTCCGCGTTAAACAGTGTTATTACATTGTGCATTCTGGCCGCTCCTAATGTACTACACTCATTGTTGTTAAGAATGAATACTACAGATGCAGCAATGACAGCGAAATGTGCATCTATTGTGAATGGTAACTTATCAAACATCGCAGCTACACCAATTACAGTATGGATTATTTCATATAAGATAGATCAAAACAGTTTCAATTTTATGGTATACGTACATTAGTAGCAATAAATGACGATCGATTTCACCAAAAAATCAACCGCCAACTTGCATCAGCACATGAGTCCTAAGGAAATTTTAAATCTTATTTTTGCTTAGCTACTAAAGTGCTGTCATATTGTAAATAATCTCTGAAATCTTTTTATCACATTGTATGCGACTATAAATCAACCTGAAAGAGTTAAATAAAAGTATCAGTTGTTTACGTATAAACAAGATGTAATCTATTTCAAAGTTGTTAAATTTCTATTGGAATAGAAATATTTTATACTTATAGTATTGCCATATCTTTCGTCGACGCGTATAGTAGTAGTAACCTAAAAGTACTCGTATTTAGAATATTTAAGAGTAGCCTTACTGTAGTTTGAATGGAAATTCACAGTTATTGTTAAACAACAGTAATAATTTATAACAGTTTAGTCTCAATTGTGACCACATGAGATGTTTACATCCGGTACACTACAGTAGTCCAATAGTAACACATAGGAAATGTATCGGAGTACGTATATTAGAATTTCGTGTTATAGAGATGGCGATCAAAAATGTTTATTTGATAAAAAGTACAAGGAATCTGTATTTTAGTTTTATAAAAAGATAATACACTAAAAATCATAGATATTACCAAATTCAGATAAAATGCCCTTGTACTTCTCATTACATTCAAATGTTTAGCCAAAATTTATCAGAAAATATCAATTTATCCGCGGATAAATACAACCGCTACTAAATCCTATAATTATAATTTACTGCATACGAGGTCTTCATTGATTAATAATTGCTTTTCATTTCTGTACAATTACTACGGTGTATGAATTGAGCCATACCATTAAGCAAACACCAACCATAGTATATAACATGGTATAAAGTGCAGTTATCAAGATTGTTATTACCAACAAACAAAGTTGTTTCGATAAGTTACCTTCAATAATAATATAATAATTATGTCATACGATAGTTTGTTTATTAAAGGATATTTTACACCATTCATAAACACCAAAGTAAATACCGCCACCTAAGCTGATCCAAGTGACACGAGGCACTAGCCCTGAAAATAAGCTATTCAAGACTAAAAATTACTTAAATTGAATTTATTTCTGAAACAGTTCTATCCTATTACTATGTTAAAAATACTGATCTTCTAATAAAAGTTACCAAAAAATTAATCATACCCTCTAAATTTCTGCTTTTCCCAAATGTTACGCAGGACCAAAAATGTATTGCCGCTGGCATCAGCGCTTTTTCTCTAACAAATAATTCGGTATCAATTGGATAATCAGAAATCGTTCCAAATTTAAAATTGTAAGACAAGCATAGTACGTATAATCATCTTATATCAACGAATAACCCGGTATAGACATCAATCAATCAATTCTAGCATGTATAACAATCGCCTTCCATATACTCCACCATACCTCAGCTAGCATGACCCTAGTCTTAAGGACATCCAAGGGAGTTGTTAATGCAGCTGCTAAACCACCTTGTGATTATCATAACAATTCCATTCATCAACATGAGTAGCCTACTAGTCCATTAACAGTTTTATCGTAAACATACCAGCTAATGATCCACATGCAGCAGACTGCCACGATTCGATTGGTCTGTCTTGATACTTTGACCATTTTCTCTAAGCGCATAAAACGTAAATTTGATAATGTAATAAAATTGCTAACAAATTTCCATAAAAAAAGGTCAAAACTTTGGTTAGTGATACCTTCAAATATTCCCAGACAGGATATTCTATTACGGCAAACGGAATCTACTTTCACAGGCGAATTTTGTACATGTAAAGACCTTTATATTTATCATACGAGTATGTCGATTAAATTCGAATAAACAATGACTCCTACATCACGGATAATAGTTTTTCCATATCCACGGTAAAATCCTTTTAAACCCTACATTTATAAACATTGATTGGATTAGTGAACATAAATTTAAATAATCTTTCAACCCTGAATTATGCAAGAACTAAAGAATACAATATAAGTATACGAACTTCTGTTCTAGCAGTTTCCTTCCAAAGAACTGCGATATTCCGATTAGTCTCTACTTGAGCACGCTGCTTGATAACTTCGAAAGGATTTCTCACAAAAGATCCGCACTAAAGATTTAAATATAGAGATTCTATTTCTAAGGACTACTACAATATATTGATACTAATAATGTAATATAATTACAGTAAAGTAGAGTAAGCTAGAAGTTGGTCACAAACTTTGGTTAAATTACTACACGATTTATACATACAGTTTCTCCAACACAAGCACATATCACGTGGATGAATGGCCGATATTCTTCAGGAGCTGTAGGCTCCAGAATATTTTTCATCAATTCATACGAGAAAAACATTGCTGCAGCTAGTTAATAGAGAAAGCTGTTAGAAATTTCAGTGTCGAGGTAGACGATGTTTTGATGGTAAACGTAGACCATGATGATGATGTATGCGTGCAGCAATACCGTATGCCTTACAATTTGAAGACTATTGTACCCAATATCATTCCAACAACTCTACAAATTAATCCGCATGAAGTATATATCTCGGATCTCCTTATTTATTTCACTTAAAAGATTTCAAAAAATAAAAATACTAAATACCAGATGGAGCTGAACCAGCAGCCATGGAGAAGAAGCCAGAATACACACCACGAAAACCACCAGAACGAATAAATCCAGCGGACGACTGCAATCGTGTTTTAATCGTATCTAAATAATATAGAACGGTTTCAATGATTCTTTTATCAGCAAATCGTATATAATTCTGTAATACTGTAGCTGTAAATTTCAAATAGCTATTTGAATTAAATAATCTCAATGTAGGTACCAATTGGATACAACGCAATGTCAACTGATAGTCCAGCCGCACCACCAGCCTAAATGATAAAGAAATCCAATATCGGAGTTACGGACTGTGTATTATGTATATAAATATATATAGTCCATCGAATCGTTAGGTTAATTGTCAGAATTATTGCATGACAATTATGCATAGCTACAACAATAGCATTCTCTACAACCAAGTTATACACTTTGTAACTATTCTATCATATGATTTAATAGTTAAATTTACGTATAGTAGACATTATTTTTGTGGTATAGAAAGTAATATTCTAAAGATGATATACCAAAAATGCATGAGTCAGTGGCTGTTTTTGAGGTTTTGGATCCATGCTTGTATATTCGTATTCTGCTAAAGCTATCCATGGACAAAAAAAATGATACAGAAGATTAGTTTATACCTTACATCATTAAATAAGTAGCTGCTACCAACTTAAGAATACAGGTTACTTAATATGTATCAAAAAGCATGTGTGCTGAAAGGACAGGCTATACCCATTCATTTTTAAAGCAACGATTAAAATTCATTTAATATCTATTGTAGGTGCAAGATATGTAATATGAGTGCGTATACGAATATATTGGCAACTGAACATACGTATACGCATATGAATGTTTATGGAATCAATTCTAAAACAATGGCTATTAAGTTGTTACCGAAAACATATCAATTTTCAAAAATTCGGTAATATGACAACACATAAATTACACTAATAGTTTGACTTATAAAATGTTCAGGTACAAGAAATGATTTGGATTACAATTTGGTGTTGCCGTTCCAAGATTCGACCGGCATACTGTATAGTGTATAGTGAGTATATACTGTCTACACAATATCAAATTGCA